AGCGCACGCCTCAGCCCACCTGGAACAATATAGCTTGGCAGTCGCTGACTAAATCATGGCAACAGCCATTAAGGCAACACAACCCCGCCTTTTTCCGTTCACACAGCCCCATGATTTTCACAGGCTCTGCAGGCCAGTGGCAGTCCAGGCATTCTCCCCCAAGCATGCCTGACAACTCCTCGTGTCAGGTTTGTGCAATGCGTTGCTGCCTGACGCACTGCGCTCGGATGCTCCATGCGCGCTGCAATCCCTCATTAACTGTTGGCGCAGCCAATCTCAGGTCCATGGACTGAGTGCTTTATCGCGCTTTGTGGCCCTGCAGCTACCAAGATTCCATGCAGATGGAACTAAGAAATTAGGACAAGTTCAGGATCCTTGGACAGTAATCATACCCTTTTTCCCCGGGAACGCCCTGCTGGAAGCATGCTCATTGAAGTACATGGCAGACGATGGTAAACGTGCCGCCAAGATTTCATCCAAAATATCTTCGCAGCTGGGTAATCAATTGTACATAGTTTTTCTGGAGAGGTGCACTTAAGCTCACTTTTGATTCAAGGATGGAAGAGCAGCAAGCAGTTTGTCTACCAGTGAGCGATGTAAAGCACGCTCATAAGGCCAATGGGCCAACGCGAAAAGTCAAGCTCGGAAAGCGCCTAACCTAGACTTAGACACATGGCTTCATGTCTGAGTGTCATACATTGTTTCCTGATTCCAAGCTTGATGAAACAATGGGTGGCCTGCTTGAAGGGCCTATCGGGCCGGGGCCACGCGATATCATCTCAGGAAACTGGGAGACCCCTGAGTGTCATGGGAAGACGAGGACGCATCGCAAAGACTCCTTTGCGGCGGAGGAAGAAGAAGATCCTCACCCTGATCGCGACGGTAAGAAGAAGTCATCATTTTAATGAAGCGTTGAACAACCGTGCAGGCGTGCCAAGACATGCCATTTCTTTGAGCGAAACATCAACGAAACAAAGGGAACACATAGAGGCTGGACGCCTACGTCTACACATTGGATTCGCGTCAGCAGCGGACAGCGAGTCTGTGCAGGGTGCCACTGCTCATTTGGTAGAAGGGGCGTTGGACTCTGACAGATCGTTGGTCAACATTTGCACCATGGATCTTGCAACCTTCTCTCGAGCACTGGAGCATCACGAGGTTGTTTGAACTGCCAGCCCAATTCTTGGAATCGCAATGTCTGGGCAGCGCCTCGCCGAAGAAACATTTGTTTAAGTTTCAATCATCAATTTGGGTGTCATTTTTCACAGGGCCCCAGAAATTCTTTACGCCTACCATCTATCATCATCCAGATTGTCACTGCTGGTCGCCTCAACGTCCACCGCAACATCGGCGTCCTTGTGTAGGCCAAACCTGCGCAACCTATGGCTGTGTAACCCGAAGTAACCGCAAAGAACCCCGTCCTGAAATAAGGCAGTCTTGGACTCTGTCCCCCTGCGAATCTTAATTCTCTTTGGGCTCAAGCAACCTTCCTCCCGCCCCCCGCTTGGCCTCGAGGCAATTCGACCAAACAGACAGTGTTGCGCTTCGCAAGTGAATCGCTTAAGTGAGAATTGGCCTTAAAAACTTCAGAGATTGTCTCTTCGCTTGTCGGCTCGCAAGGATGCCCTCTGCGTCAAATAGAGCATACCCCCTAGGATGCTGTCGCGAGGATACGGTGCATCCATTGCCGTGGTGGGGCCATCTGCTGGGTGGTCTTGCTATGGATCCACCGCGTCCTGCAGTTCTGTTGGTTCACGCAGCAGCAAACATTCCAACTGGGTTCAAAGCTCAGCGCAGGATAGCAGTTTCGGTAGCTATATCCAAAGCCAAGTTGCACTCAGGGACAAGTGATGCCGGCGGTGCTTTGCTCCAAACCTCGTCCGGGAGTGCCAAATCAATAGCTGGATTTTTCAACCACTCCCATAGCAGTCCCATCCAATTCATCCTATGAACAGAGATGCATGAAGAAGCTGCCTCGATTAGGAGTATAGCCCAGTGTGTTTCTGCCTCGCAACGGAAATCATGATCTAGTAACCGTCTGGCTGCAGCTTCAGCGTTGTAGTTCCTCTGTAGACTGTTGTCGTCTGCTTCTGCAGGTGCTCCTGCGGCCTCCTCGATTTCTGCGTCCTGTCTGCCTCACCTTGGGTCAATTTCTGCTCCGCAGGCCTGATCTGATCGAGGTGGTTCTCCTCTGACTGGCAGGTTCCTGCTGGGCGAGTCCTGGCTTCTGCCTGTTTCGGGAGCTTCAAGTCACCGACATCATCCCTGACCGGTCCCACACTGCGTGGGGCTCAGTTCTTCGCGTGAAGGTGATTCCCTTGAGGCTCTCCGAGCTCTCCGCCGTTTTGGAGCCTTTCTTCGTGGCTGCCTTTCGGCGTCCTTCTGCCGGCTTGTCTGAGCGGCAGCCTGCGTGGCTGCCAGAATGTAGTTCTTCAGATTCAAGACCAATGACGATGAAGGTGTCGTTTCAGCAGCAGCAGCAGTAACTCAAGATGTGCGTTTTCAGCTAGTGCTTGCCGGGCGGCGCCCCCACCTGTGGCGGGGTGATAATTTCGACCTCTCCCATTTGGGGAAGGCCGTGAAGAAGGCGAAGTTCTGCTCTGGCTGTCCTCTGGATGAATTCTGCCCCCTTGTCCGCGTGACTCCTCTGGCTCTTTCTGAGTGTCCTCCTCTTCGAGGGCAAACACAACATGGTGTCTTCTGGCGTGTCATACATCACCTCGAAGATCTCGAAGGTCGCGGAAGTGGATTGCTCTGCTCTTCAGGTTCGTGCGGTGCTTGAAGGTGCAGCTCGCTCAAAGTCTTAAGGTCTGCTCAAAGGACATTCTCTTTTCCAATGCCTCTTGCGCCCGCGTGCCCTACAGGATGAGTTTACGATCCTGTCTGCTGCCCCTCGGCTTTGTCCAGAGTTCCCTTGTGCGCCATCACGTTTGCCTTTGGCCCGGCCTTTGGCGCCCTTACTACCTCAGCCGGCCAGTAGCCTTTGATAGCGACTAATCAGACAATGTTTAAGCAGCCTTTCGTGGCGCGAACTATCTTGAAAGAACCCTGTCCTGAAAGAAGGCGCCCTCAAGTGGGTGGGCTCCAGGGTTGGCGTCTTCTGCCCGGATCTCGACGGCACGCAGATCATGACTTTCCAGAAGATGCGCAAGGAGCGCAGCAGAGAGACCCAGAGGCACGATCGCCGTCCGGGTTAGGCTCATCAAGGCAATTGGAGATTTTGCTGTGGAGATGGCCGCTGGGAGATGCGCAGTGTTTGCTCTTCTCGTGGATTCTGGTGATGCTTTATGCCCGAGTGGGCATGCGTAAGATGCCGTGCCTGAGGCCATCTGGCGTGTCCTTTTCCGTCGGGATGCTCGTCCCTGTAGTTCTCAGCTGAGGTGCTGGTGGCATTGCTCGGTGGACCCCGAGGAGGCAGCAGATGTGCGTGGTGGAGCCCATGTTCAAGGACGATCTCCCGGAAAAGTTCGCGTTGCTCTTCATGGACTCCGATCCTGTGTAGACTGCTTTGATCAAGCGTTACTACACCGCGAATACAGCGAGGGATGACTGGCGATCCCTTTTTTGAAGGTCCCAAGGGCTGCTCAAGTATGTTCAGGTATGGATCGCATCGATCGATGCCAGGACTTTTGAAGACAACTCCAGGTCTTTCTGATCAAGTCGGCTCGGGATCGAGCAATCGATCAACAGCATTGGCCGTGATCCCAGGTCAGATGGTCAGGTCCAAAAGACCCAGGCAGTTCTGCTCAGCGTGATGGTTGCGATTTTAGATGTTTTTTCTGGAACTGGTCGATAAGCTGTCGGCTTGGTTTGTCGGAACTTGCGGGTCAATTATACAGATCACAGGGGCTCAGCACACTTGTGAACATGCTTGCCTGATTCCGATCCGGCAGTATTGGGCACATTTTCTGTCCCCGCCCATAACAAATGCTATTTGGAGATAATTGGAGGGGATCTGTATGAATGCAGTTCCAGTGTGGATCGCATTGATTGATGCTGGGATTTGTGAAAAAACCGTTTGGGGCCGCATCCATGTCCGTCGATGGCAGCATGCGCATGTCAAACTCAAGAAGGTCAAGAGCCGCCAGTCCAGGGAAATGTTTGTGGAACAATTTGGGTCAGACAATCTGTTGCATTGGTTTGGAAACCAAAAGGCGGACAGTCACGCAACTGAGAGGGCTGCTGCTTTTGCTCATCGAGCTAACCCTCAGCATGTTTACATGGACTGAATTGGTCGTAACACGGAAGCAGTTGTTACTTGGCTTTGGATATCTACCAAATTTCACCTTCAAAATCAGCAGCAGTTGGTAGGACAATTTTCGTTATCTAGGAAGGCCACCCCATTAGAGTTGATGAGGGATTTTCAGAGACTCGTTCCGACCCATTGGTGGGACCATCAACGTGAAGGCGTGAAAAGAGAGCTAAGTGCTGTTGGTGTAAAGTGCGGTTGCGAACGCTCGATTCCTGTGCAACCATCCGTCCCAAACTGACCACTCCTTGTTTCAGCCCGTGCGGGATAATCAGCTTGCCGGCTCTAACACGTAGAAGAGTGCATCGCTCTCACACTTCTGACGTCTCCGGTTTTGGTTTGAGGTGTGTCCAATGCGGTAGGCAGCGGCAGTCACACGCCTGGGTCACACACCTGGGGATTTTCACGCCAGCTTGCCCTAAAGAGGGCACACGCAAATGGTGATTTTTGTATTCTGTTTTGCATTATCTTTCAATTGTCTTTGGGGAAAAAAATCAAGGTCTTTGCGATGAAGCCCGTTTGAAACAGATCGACTGACAGAAGTAACTGCAATGCCATGTCAGACAATCACGTGGTGGCTGATCCTGAAACCAAGCCTACATGCTGCAGGCTGCTGTATTCAATCATCAATTTGTTTTCAGGGCTGAGTGCAAGAGTTCCATCTATTATCAACCTGCAGCAAGCTGGCTGTGCCCTCGTTCAGGTTTTGTTTGTGATGCATTGCATGTGCCTGTTGCCCTCGCAGGCTTTCATGATGGTGTGCATGGCTTTGGTTCAGCTCATGACTCCTGGCCTCGCGTTCTTTTACGGAGGCCTACAACTCATACCGGGATTTTTTCGCGCAAGTGTGCCTACAATGGACGGGGTTGCTTGCCGATGATGTTGTTCTGCAGGTCTGGTTAAGGACACGAGCGTGCCGGACCCAGCCCGCAACATCTCCCGGTTTTGAATCTGTTCACAATAACTTGGAGCGGTTCACATCACGAATGCCGGTTATCTTGTTGGTCTTGAAGGTGCTAACGATGATGATGCAAAGCTTCGTATCCATGGGAGTTGCCAGCATCATCTGGCAGCGCTCTTGGGCTTGCGGGATTGACATAATTGCGTGCCATCAGCGCATGTCTGCAGCCTGGCTTCTCACCTGAGGTTTCTGTTTGGCTTCTCATTATGCTTCGGTGAATCCCTCTATTTCATCGGAAACCCGTTCACATATTTTGGTCTCCAGGGACTAAACGTGAACGAGGTCGCTGCTTTGCAAGATGCTGCCATTCCCAGTATTTCTATGAATTGACCAGCCGACATTGTCTCAGGCCTTGCCAGATATGTCGATTCCGGGTTTGTTGTTTGCCGGATACCAGGGCAACTTGGTATTTCTTCGAGATTCGGAACAAAATAGCTCGAAATATGTGCAAGTATGTGCAAAAGGATCCAGCCTGATCATCGTCAGACTTCTTGCAAATGCCATGTTTTTCTTGATGTCTCAGGCATGTTTGCCGTGATCACGCCCGCTCTCATGACCGGTGCCTTTGCAGACCGTTTCCGCTTCAAGCCATACCTGGCATTCATTGCGCTGTGGCTCATGTGCCCCACCATCTTTGATAGCTGTGCAATTTTTGTTGGGCTTGCCTTGGAGAACTGGCAGTGTGCAGGTTTGTGTACGCTCCGTGGTGCCACTGGGTGTGGGGCGGAGGATGGCTTGCGCAATGGGGCGTCAAGGACTTTGCAGGAGGTGCTGCCATCGCCAGCTTGATGCTGCTGTGAGCCATCTCCTGCAATCTGGCGTGTGGCAGGCATTGTGGTACATGTCACAGCGGGATTTTCTGCCTTGGCGAGCCTGATTGTTGTTGGCAAGCGTCAAGTTTCGGAAGAAGACCTGGAGGACTCCGACCCTGCAATGGATGTCCTCTTGGCAAAAATGTACATGTAAAAAGCAATTGTGGGCTGTGATGGCCTGGGTAGCGAGGACCATGACCGACCTCACAATGTGCCTTTCGTGGCATTGGGCACTGCCATGTTGTGGTTCGGCTGGTTTGGGTTCAATGCTGGTCCCGCGGCTCTAACAGACGAGGCTGTCTGCAAAGCGGTAGGTTTTTTAGCATTTGTCTTCTGCAGTTGAGGATCAGCACTGTCTACTGGCTCTGTGGCAGTTGGTGCTGCTGTGAACTCAGAGATTTCGGCTTCTGTGGCTCTGTTTCTGTGGCTGCTCATCGACTGGGTGCGTCTCGGACGCCCTGGCTTGGTCGGACTCTGCGTCGGGGCCATCGCGGGCCTCGCCACGATCACCCCCGCAGCCGGCTTCATCCAGCCCTGGGGAGCGAAGCTTGGAGCATCTTTGAACACACTTCTGCTTCTGTGAATAACATGTGGTATGTTAGTTGTATGTTGTGTTATTGTCTCTGTGTGTGTTCAGCTCCTGCTTCCTGCTCTCAGCTTCATCCTGGGCTTCGTTGCGACGTTCTTCTGCTATGCTTGCTGTGAGCTTCGATGCTCAGAACGCAGATTTGAGCATGCTTCAGGGACCACATGCCAGGCTGGCATTGATGGCATGTAAGATAGTCCATCCTTGAAGAAAGCGGTCTGTAGGAAAGCGGCTGGGCTTTGACGATGCGCTGGATGTGTGGGGTGTCCATGGTATGGGTGGCTTCATGGGTACCGTCTTGCAGCCCGACCGCAATCATAAGCGCTGGCACATCCCTGTAAGGGCATCTTGTTGATCGCTCCTCGTGTGCAAGGCTGGGTGTTCTGGCTGACCCGGAGGAGTGCGGCTCTGTTGAGGCCGCACCAAAATATTGCGGCTTGTCTCGGAACGACAGCTTGAAAATCGGGGCCCCAAGTTGGTGCTCCTAACTTGACCGAGACGCTGAGGTGTGAATCCTGGTCAGGTGACAGCGGGCATTGAGCAGGTTGGTTGCTTGACCTGAACTGGTTTTGGTTCTGAGTGTGGCCAGCATCCTGCCTGGGATGAGGCCGATCCACAATTTGCATTGGACGAAGGTACTTCATACATAACCCTGGCCATAAATGGCAGAAAAGACGGGTGTAAGGGGCTGGCGTAGATTTTCTGCATCAGGCTGCATAAAGTGGAAGGGGACATCCGCAAATGCTAATTTTTAAGGAACCCCCGTGAAGCCTAATAGCACAGCCCCAAGGAAAGCAGCTCGTGGGCGCCACGCTCGCAGCTGTCTACTCCGTTGTTGTGACGCTTGTGCTGTTGAAGGTCGCGAAGTGAGCACGCATGAGGAAGAGTGCTTATTGGCCATTGCAAGTTCCGACCACGCCAAAGTCAGTACATGCAGTTTAGCGGGTTGACTACATTGTTGCTGTCCCTGTATCTAGACGGCCCCGGCCTCGAGCACTGGCGGACCAGACACTTTCAGCATTTCGCAGGCCATCAACCTCTGCATGCCTCTGAAGCCACTGCGTGTTGATCAAGGAGATGGGACAGTTTAGCTTGCCAGTGCTCGCCCAGTTTGGACACCACTCACAATGATACCATCTCCAGGCGGCTTTGCAGCAGTCGTTCGTTGTCAGGACTAGATCTCACGGAGCATGGTGAGACGGCCTACCACAGCCCGGTCCGCCAGTACATCCAGGAGCCAAAGAAAGGATCCGAAGGCGACTCCGTGGTTTGAGCCCATGCCGCTTTGAGGTGAACAGCAAACGACGTTCCGTTGTATTTTTTTCTTTGCCTCTTACCGGATTGTTCCAGACAGCTGGCATCAAGGTGTGCGTGCCGCAAATGCGCAGTGCTCGATGGGTTGCTGGTACACGACGCTGAGAGACAGGGTCATCGGGCCCTTCCATTTTTGGCGGATGAAGGATGCAGCCTTACAAGTGTTGTTTAGAATCATTCAGCTAGTTCTTGTCCCGATTGTTCTCTTTTTTGTGGCTGGCTGCTGTTTCATCCGTGGTGCAGTGGAGCTGCGCACCTTTCAACAGGGGCTTGATAGATTTTTGTACAGGACAGGCAAATGGAAGCAGCCAGAGGGTTGCCCAAGTGATCAAGTCTTGACCTCCCGACTGGCACATTCCAGGGGAGAAGACACAGCCAACCACAGCTCTACAAAGGAGCGGTTTGTTTCCGAATTAAGCCTCGTTGCATTGGGGCTTGCCAATTGCACGCCGGCCTTCTCACCTGAATTGTGCATCGCAGACGACGCAAGGCACCATGAACGGCACGCTTAGAGATGAGGCGTCCGGCAAGTTGCACTTCTCTTTAGACCTCAGCCGCCATGTGGCTGCAGGTTTCTGCACGTCGTTCCTTCTGGACAAAATGCAAGAATGCTGGGAAGCAAAGACTCGTCAGGTCTGCCAGTGTTCACAGATGTTTGAGAGGACTGCTTCCTAGCAAACTCTTCGGCTTGTCCAAAAGGATGGTTTGTTTGAATCTTTTAGAATTTTAGACTTACTTGAGCAGATTTGGCATGATTCTGCCCTCAGACGCTCAGATGCTGATGTCTTACCGTCCCACGAGCCTGCTCTCAACTTCAAGAAAAAGTCACGCAACTGCTGTCACCAGGCAGTCCAGACTTTCAGGTGTACTCTGAAGTTCCTACTGAGCTGCAGTAAGCGAATTGCCAACAGTTGCGGACACCTCCAGGTACAGCTTTCCAGAACAACTTGCTGGACTCCACCAAGGCTCAAAGTGCAGATGCTTCGTCAGTTTGCCTTGGTAATCAAGGTTCAGTGTGCCAAACCAAGGCATTTGAGCTGGTCTTGACAGAAGTCAAGGACAGCAGGGTGGACTGTTGGCAGCATTATGGATACTTGAAGTCTCCCTGCTGTATCTGCTGTCATAGGACAGAGAACCGTCCGATTTCTTGTGCATTCCAGGAACAGCTGAAGCTCTCTTTTTTTTGTTGCACCCTCGGCAGGATGTCGAAGGCCTTCCTACAAGTGCACTGGCTGCAACTCGGACTCGCCTTACTGCTTTTTATTTGGGGGCATCTTGACAGGTTCTCAGATCTGAAAAGAATTGGAAGGACTTATCGATGTGTTTGGTGCTGGTGTGCAAAGCTCTTCTTGGCATATGCGGAATCGGGATATCCAACAATGGAGATTTTCAAATCCTTGTGGACCCAGCCTTGGCAGGCAGCCGCGCAGTCCTTCAACCAAGCACAGAGTGAAAATTCTGAAGAGGTGGCTGAGGCGCAGAGATGCCGCAGCTCCCGCAAATCTTAAGAATTCACAATTATCAAGACTGGCATACCTGGCATGCAATGCGAGGCGACCCCGGAATCGGGTCCTTGGCGGCTGACCTTAGACATGCCGCTGAGCGGCATACTGTTCACGCTTGTAAGGGCATCGATGCCAGTCAGTGTGCTTGCTCCCTGGCTGTGCCCATTGGTATTTGCCCGAGAGGCCTTCGTATCTCCCTGCCATGAAGCACCTGAAGTCATCGGACCTGCGTGAGAAGTTTCTTGAACTGCGAGATGTTGTTCCTGATCCCGCTGTGGACATGTTGGTCCGTAACTTCGTGTGCGTTGTGCATCACAACAGCTCAGGCTCTACCGCGCTTTCATCTCTCGCGTAGACAACCTGGCTTGTCGCTAGTCACGCGATATTCATGTGTTGCTGCTGGGTTGGCTGTGAGCTGAAGGCTTCCACCGACAAGGTGGACAATGGGCCGCTCATCACAGAGATCCTGCAGTTGCGCGCCGGCCTCATACCGACTCATAGCAGTGACGTTTTTGGCACTCAGTTCTTGCCTGCGGTCATGGGTGAGGTTGACGGGAAGTGTGCCGTGGTTTGGGTAGCATGGATTTGTTTCTGGCAAGGGAAGAAAGCCTCAGCCATGCTGGGCTTCGAGAACTACGCTGCCGAGTCCCTGGCCTCCAAGCGGCTCAGCTGATTGTTCAGCCTTCTGTTAGGCCTCCAATGAGATCCAATGAGTGCAGTGTCATAACCTGAGGATGGCTCCGAACATTGAGGCAGTGAACAAGCTGACAGAGGACAAGTCATGGTGAAAGTTGGCAACGAAGGGCAGGGGAGGTGCCGTCCAAGGAATGGCCATTCCAGTTCATGAAGCCCTGCATTGCCTTCTCGCAAGTACGACGAACCTTGTAACGGACAGTCACCGGCTGCGGCCTCCTGGTGGTAGGTACAACTGAAGCCTACGATAGGTTGCTGATCTCAGGATTTTTTGACTGGGCAAAGGGCTCGTTTGTTCATGAAACGAAGTGTTTGGGTTCGGGTGAGGGTTTCACGTTCAATGGTTCCTCCCTTGGAGTTTCAGGACTGGGCTAAAGTTTCGGTGGGGGTTATTTACTCGTCGATCTTCAGGATGAGATTTGGGACTAGATGAGTTAGGCATGTTTGGCTGGGTCCCGAGTCTAGCGGTCCCTTGGTAGCTCACGGAAGCAGACCAAGAATCCAGAAGGAAACCAGGACGAATGTAAGAGAGAGAGGAAGGAGGGAAGGAAACTAGCAATTACGAAGCAAAACGGGAAAGGCAGGTTGGAAGGAACATCACAGGTAAAGGAGGGCAGAGCTAAAGAAGGAAAGACTTAGCGAGGAGAAGGCAACAGGATATTTTTGACAGTCAGTGTAATGGTGAATGCGCACTCGTATGCGCCACGTGTTGTCATTTGCAGGATCTCTTTGCAGTTGCGCGCCCAGCTGCTGAACGCGAGCTCGAAGAACTGCAGGACCTGTTCGATGTTGACGAGCAGAACTGTGCACATTGTTCAAAGTGGTAACTACGATGTCTCATGCACATCGCAGCCCAAGTCTGTGTCTTCACCGGCAGGAGTTTGCAAATGCAAAAGGCACGTCTAGCTTCGCCTCCCTGAGACCTAACATGAAGTGACTACCTTCTACAAATTGACAGCAATTGACAGTCGCAACGCGCGAAGAACATATTTCTCAACTTTGTATTCAATTTACGGATTTTCCTTTGAGGACTGGTAGCGTTCCTGTTTCTTATCTCAATAAAACATGCTTGCAGGCTACGAAGGCAAGTTACAGTCAGGAGCTCAAGCAATGCAAACCAAAGCTCCGTTTGCATTTGGGCGCTGAGGGGAGGACATGTTCTTCTGAGCTACAGGCTGTGGGATGTGACCTTCTGGACGGAGCGTCTCAAGGAGGAGAAGTGCCCTTACCAGCATTGCTGCACCCACGGTTCAGATGTGGTGGAGCAGTTCATGGTGAGATTTGGTGCCTGGCTTGAAGCCATATCGAATGGCTCTCGCACAGGTATGCTTATGATGAGGAGGCTCTGAGGCCTTACTTCTCCCTGCCCAAGGTGCTGGAGGGCATGCAACTCGGACGACAGTTCGGAGAATTTGTTTGCCTCATTGACTTCGGCTGTTCCGGTTTCCGAAAGCGGGCCAGCTGTGTGCCAACTGCATGATCGATCAAAACATATGTACATACAGGTGCCTGGCATACATGAACTTCAAAGATGCGTGGATATTTCAATTTGACTTTCTTGCAAAACCTGATTGTTTTCCACTCCCTTCTTGTCGAATTCTAAGTTCCATCTCATCTTCAGTCATCCTGTCGGGTGTCTCGTCAAAAAAAGATATTTCAAGGTTGTAGCTGCTTGACCAGATCGTAATGAAAATCGTCAGACTCTTCCTTTGGCAGACGACACTCGGAAGCCGTGCTCAGTGTCTGCACTGCTGCCCTGCAAAAAGGGCACGTTGTTGCTCGTGCACTTGCTTAAGCCACTGCTTAAAGCTACGTAGCCTTCCACAGAAGAAGGCAAAATTTGCTGCCGACAGTGCCGCCACCTTCTTGCAAGCTTGCGGCGCCGTTCATCAAGCTGATTGCAGCATGCCTCGGCATCATTGCGTGCCGCATTTTTTCCACTGTTGCCACTGGCTGTGGCCCCCCCACGCCTTACACAGGACATGTCTCAGAGCACCCTTGTGGCATGCGAAGTGGCGCTTGGCACCACCATGTCTAGCAGCCATCAAATTATTGTCCGTATTGCGAGCGCTCCATTTGCCATTCCACGAGGCATGGGTGCAGTTCATTGTCAAAGTTCATGAGGAAGCACGTTATACGTTGACTTGTTTAGAAACTTGGTCCAGCCTCAACGTCTACAATAAGATCTACTTCTTGTCTTCTCGACGCAGCACGAAGAAGTCAGACAGAAGTCAAAACTGTTCGGAGCTCACCGTAACCATGCGGTGGACTGGCATATTAGTCCAGCCATGGTGGTTCTATGCTTTAGAACTTATCACATTTTCGTTGTACTGCCAGGTATTTGCTCTTTCCTAGTGCGCCAGATATCAGAGCACACCTCGAATTTTCAACAACATCAGCATTTTGTCTCTGTATTTGGTATGGAACATGGTAAAGAGCCCCCGTCTTCCACACCTTGATTCCTTTGCATCATGGGTCGCATGCTTGGCTCGCACTCTCTTGCGTGCCCTTCTTAGATTCCGAGCCTTTAAACAGGCGTCTTTCGTTCCATGTCCTATTCCATACTCGTTCCGTACCTATTCTATAAGCATGAACATTGATTTGTGAGCATGTGATGATTTCCTGGAAAGCTTGAAGTGCATTGACAATGCATTGATGATACATATGTAGGTTCTTGGCACCCTCAGAATCGCCTGCCCTTCTCTACGCAGAAAGGATCATGGTTTTGCCCAACTTCCGAAAGCTTTCATTCTTTTGACATTGCTTTGTTTCAGCAGATGCCATATGACGCCAAAACGCGCTGCCAAACCTGCAACGTCAACCCGCATTTCTCAGGTTGACAGGCATGTAATCGAGAGTCTTGAAAACCGAAATGCGTTCTGGACACGCCTGACAACGTATGAACTGAGCATAACTCAACAATGAGCTCTAGTAGATACGCGCACTGTACAGCTACTTTTGCGCCGAGAGTTGTCCTTTCATGACAGGCATTGGGGGAACGAACTTTGTACAACGTCAGCCCGCCCGAAGCAGCTGACATAAATCGTTTAAGAACCGGGCAATATGAGTTTGAATCTAACTGGCACTCTATGGAAATCGTGCAGATAGCATTGCTCGGGGGCACAAGTTTCTGCTGTTTCCTTGGGTGGCTAGGTTTTCCGGTGTGCTGTCGAAATTTGATTATTTATTTAGTTTTCGTGTCGTGCTGTGAGGGGCACGGCGAGTGAAGGTATGAGCAAATCACATCGTCGACAAGCTAAAGCTGTTGCCTTGATAACATGCTGTATCACAGCGCGTAGCTCTGAGAGAATGAGAGGGGTAGGGGTACGGGGTAGAGTGAGGAAAGGCAAAAGAAAACGGACGGACGTATGGATCGGTATGCGTATATGTATGTATAGATACCTACATGTGTATATGTGAAGAAAGATAGACAAATAACTACAAACACATAAATAACTACGTATATAATATATATGTGTATATATATACACATATATACATATTTAATTGGACAGTGTCCCACCCCACCAATGTTTTTGTTGTTGTTGTTGTTGTTGTTGTTGTCTGACCGAAATCTAAGGGTTGTCTGCGGACTTGACTTCATGCTCTTCCTTTGTTTACATTTCCAAGAGAGCAGGGGGGCATGGCCCTTACTCACGACCATGTCCAATGAAGCTATGTGAGTAAGGGGGATGTGCTTGAGGACGCTCAGGCATGTACCTGCTGTGGGAGTATCTGGGCAGTTGAGTATGCAGCTGATATCCCAACAGTGCTGTGCTGGCATGGCACCAAAGCCGGTAGCGGCATTTCCAAAAAACTGTTGCTCTTGGGCCTTGCGGCAGCTGGAGGACAGATTCATACAATGAAGGGTGTATTCCCTTATCGGCTTCATCATCACCAGCATCCTGTGGCTGCTCTTGGATCCTATGCGGATAGCTGGAGGGCTACGCAAACGACGACGATGAGCTGTTGTTTTTGGGCTTTGCGGCAGCTAGAGGACAGATTTCTGCAGTAAAGGGTATACTCCCTTATCATTATTATGTGGCCGCTCCTGGATCCTGTGTGGATAGCTGGAGGGCTACAGAGACGACGACTATGACGACGACTAAACCA